AATGCCACCCCGCCACCCCCACCGCCTCTGCCTTTATTCCCTTCTTAAAGCCCTACTGGTCCTCTGAGGCCTCAGCTATAGCCCAGTCCAGATTCACTGGCCTTTCCTCTGTGCCCCAAAACACGTCATACAATGAAGTCATTGGGCTGTGCATGTGTGACTCCCCCTGAGAAAGGATCAGATTTATCTCGGTCCTCCCAGGAAAAGTAAAGATTTGAGAAGAGTAAAGCCCGTTCCCATGCCCTGCTTAACTCCACTGCTCTCAGGAGACGATCGACTGTCAGCTGGATGCGGGTATGACACCAGCAGCAAGAGGCCAGGAAGGGACTGAGTATTGCCCCTGCTACTGCCTGGGCCAGAGCCCTCTACCCAACATCTCACCTCAAAGGAACAATTCCTGAGGTCATCTGAAGCCCCACGAGGGAGGCCCCTGTTGGCATTGGGATCCAGTCTGAACTTGAGACAGCTGGAAAGGGCCTTTTGAGAAACTGGTCCCTGTTTGCCTTGCCTCTCTCATACTATTTCCCACGCTGCCACTATTACTATGTACCAGATCCCAGTGAACTTCTTTGCTTCTCTCTTTCACCTTCTGTTCTTCACAGGAATCTTCCCACTTCTTGCAACGCTTGCCCACAGTCCTTGACTTCCTTTTCCAGTTCTCTGCTTAGATGTCGCCTCCCTTACAAAGTCCTGATAGACTCACCAGGCAAAGTCAGTTCTACACTCTGTTCTCAAGACACCTGTAGTTCCTGTCATCAACAATGCCTGCCTGGCAGTCTAATGTTCCATTTATGGATCTGCCCCCACCTCTGGGCTGTGAGCTCCACAGAAGGGCCGAGCATGGAGATCTCGTTCCTAGCTTTATCTAATACCCAAAACGACGTCTAAAACCTAACAGGACTCAATAAGGGTATTCCAAATGAATGAATGGGGCTCCCCACTCCCAAGATTCTAAGATCCTTTGACTCGGAAGTTGACTCTCTGCTAATAAGCCCTCTCAGCTTTGTCCCAGAGTGAAAAACCTCTCCAGGCCCTCCCAGAACACTCACTCCTTCACCACACGAATGCCCAGGGAACGGGCAGAGCCAATTATGGAGCGGACAACAGAGGACAGGGGCACGTCCTGCAGGGCAAAGGCATCGTCCTGAGCTTTAACACGAGCGATCTCATAAATGTGCTTCAAAGTCACCAGGCCTGCCACCTCCTTCCCTGGAAGGAAGAAAAAAGTAGCCCTTTAGGTGTCACTGCTGCCTTCCAGAGTCCCCAGAATCCCAGGTGCCTATCTTGACCCTTACCTGTCTGCCGGGCCCCCTTCTCAATCCCAGCAGCTGCCTTCAGGAAGTAGGAAACAGTGGGTTGTCCGATCTTGATTTCAAACGTCCTGTCAGGCTTAATGGAAAAAAGAAATATGAGACTAACTCTTCCTGCCTCTCTCAACCCCTGCTACTTCAACCCAGGGATATTTCTAACCTCCTGACCCCTCTTCCCTTGACTCACCTTCCAGTGATGTCCTTCCAATAGACCACAACACCACAAGAAAAATAAATCTGCAGCAAACAGCCCTGTCACCTCTATTCTAGGCCCAGCTCTGCTCAGGAAGTCCCAGTGAAACAGAGGGACAAAAGGAAGAACTGCAATATGGCGGAGGAGGCTCAGAAAAGATGTAGCCCAGTCCCCAACATGTGAATGGGGAAAGTGAGGCCCAGTCATAAGAAGAGTCTTGCCCCAAGTTAGGAGCAGGGTAGCGACCCCAGGCGACCAACTCCAAGACTTGGTGGGATGTGGGGAAGGAGGGTGGGCAGGCGGTGGAAAAACAATCTGCGAATCAGAGTTCCGACTCTGTACCTTCACGAAGATCTTGGTAGGCAAAGGAATGCCTTCTTTGATGTCCTTTGTCTTCTCGTTGAACTCCTTGCAGAACTGGTTGATGGAAACACCTCGCTGTGAGGGAAGCATAAGGCTTAGTGCAGGGGGGAAGGGACGGCTTCCCATCACCCAGGAGGCTCCGTCCGTTCCCTCCTGCGTTTCCACTTCTCTATCTTCCTATCCTCTTTTCCCTACCCAGAGGCAACTACCACTTCATGTGCCAGATGATTTGCATGCATCATCCCTTTCTGTCTTCACAACGGTTTGTTGAAGAAGGACTCAGGCAGCCGAGCCTCCAAAAGGCTATGTAACTAACTCAAGGACATTAAGCGTGTGAGTAGCAGAGCAGCACTTGGAACCGAGGCCTCCCTGGCTCCAGAGCCCGCACCCTCCACCCGGGTACTAGCTCCCACTCTCCCGCGCCTCCCACACCAGGCTCCGGCCGCGGCTGTACCTGACCCAGGATGGGGCCTAGTGGGGGCCCGGACATGGCCTGGCCCGCCCGCACGATGGTCCGGATCACGCCACCGGCCTCGGGCTTCCTGACGACCCGAGTGGCTCGGCTTATCTTCGACATGACGCGGGACTCATAGACTCAGTTCACCTCAGGGCGACTGCAAGAGACATGACTCCGGGCGCCGCCATCTTGGGTCAGAGGTCAAGGGTCCTTAGATTAGGGCAGGTGAAACCAACAAAGAGCACCGTTGTTTTAGTCCTTTCGCTCTTCAACTTGTAAGACAAGGAGGATGATAAAAGAACTTAAAAACTTTTACTTTGCCATGTGAAGATAGGGGAAGAGCCCAAATGGCTCGGGTACACACATTCCTTCTGGAGGGCACACAGGCACCACTTTGGACAGCTAAGCTGAAGGAGGAGGGCCTTAATGCCCGCACAGCATTGTGGGTGTAGTAGTTTCGACCACTTAGGCAAATCATGCGGATTACTGTGCGCGAGGGCGCTATCTGCTGGTCATGGTGATTATCCTTGCGTTTGAAATGAACCTAGAGCTGGTTCTTAGGTGTGGGAATCGCTTTACACTCTGATCTTGTTTCCTCGCTTGCTGTTGAAAAGAGGTATGGTTAAGAGTACAGACTCTGTAAGCAAACTGCCCGGTTGTTCCTCTCGCTGTCTGTGAACTTGATCAAGTTAATTTAAGCTTAGTTTCCGCCCCTGTACAGTAAGGATTAGAATATGTAGCACCTACTCCTAGGGATTGTTGTAAGGGCTGAGTTTGGAAAGTGCTTTAGAACGATACCTGGCGCCTAGTCAGGTGTGAACTGTATAATGAAGACAAGATCTTCACTGAGCCATTGTGAGGCTTAACAGGCCCATAACATGTTTGTATACATCATCTGTGTCCGTAAAATAAGGCAACATATCATTATTGGACATCATTTAACTTTTTTTGAGCACTTGCTACATGCCAAGCACTATGCTAAAGTCACTGTGTCATTTAATTCTCACAATGACATGTTTCATTATACCCCTTTAACAAATGAGAATATTAAGGCACAAGAAGGGGGCTAAAAACACCTATCCTTTGTGTGACAGGGCTGGGAAGCAAATATTGGGGTTGTCTGATTCTAGACCTTAGAGGGCGTTTATGACTATATTGTCTCATTTAGTAAGAGGAGATAATCCATGTAAAACCACATTGTAAACAGTCTTTTTAAATAATGAATTTGTATTAAACTCCCATTAATTAAATGTGACTGTTTCTGCTTCTAAAGTCCATCAAGTTCCTCTATAACGCTTAACCTCATTCCCCTTAATGAAGACTCTGGAACCAAGCTGGCCCTCTGATTTACTAACTGTAAGTCCTTGGATCGATAATCAACTTCTCTGGGGCTAATAATAGTTCCTGCCTCACAGGAAATTAGTTGATTCAGGTAAAGTGCTTAGAAGAGAGTCTGGCCCAGAACAAGCCAGGCTGGTATGATGTATCTCTGAGTCCTCCACACTGCCCAACCTTTATTTACAAATTTATTTGCAAACAAAGACATAAATCTTTTCTGATTGAAGTAATGAGGAAACAGATGGACATGGCAGGTGCTCAGGGAGCCAAGAACGCAGCCTGGGACAAACCAGGCTCCATTGGGTGCAGTTTCCACTTCCTGACAACGAAAGGACAGTTTTGATCATTCTGGCTCTTAAGGATTATAAGGAAGTAACTCCCTAGCCTACGTTTGGAAATGTGTGAGGTCAGAGCGTTCAGTAGTGAAAATGAAGCTGGACAGGTGAGCAGGGCCAGATCACACAGGCCTTGACAGCCCTGTTAAGGAGTGTGGGCTATACAGCAGGAAGCCTCGAAGAGTCTTTGCATCATATTTGCGTTTTGAAAAGGTGACTCTGGCTTGGGTATATAGAGGAATTGGAGGAGGGCAAGGGTGGATGCAGGGAGACTCATTAGGCCAGGGCAGGAAGATGGTGGAGAGCTAATGGTAGTTTGGGACGAATTCAAGAAATACTTAGAAGATAAAATTTATTTTAGTCAGCAAATGCTTGTGCAGTATGAACTGTGTTCATCTTCATGAATAGTAACCCAATGAAACCTTATTACAATCCTGGGAGGTATAGGTGCTATTGTTATCCCCACTTTAGAGATGAGAAAATTGAAGCACAGAGAGACTAAGTCATTTGTCCAAACTTACACTGCTAGAAAGTGGCAGAGTCAGGATTTGAACCCAAACTTTTTGACTCTAGAGACCATGCTCTTAACCAATCCCTAGGCTGCTCTGACAATCAACTGAACTTAGTGCTTGATGGGTAATTTGTTAGGGGAGGGGAAAGAGGCACCAAGGGTAATGCTCAGGATTCTGGCATGGAAAGTTTGGGAAAATAAATGATAAAGCCTTTTACTTTTCGTGTTGAGACATGGGAGCTGTAGGTTTAGGTAGAAGATGATGAGTTGGGTTTGAGGGTGTAATGTAAGCCCTGAATGTTGGTTTTTCTTTTTTGTAACAGTAAATGCCTGACTTAAGCTCTGATTGCTGAGGCATCCACTTCAAAGATGGCTATCTGGAATAAACACATTGCCAGCTACTAGATAAAGAGCCAGTCTGCCCCCCTCCTCCACCCCGGGGATCCTTTGTTTTAGAGAGTTCAGTTGGTTTCAACAACCGACCATTAGGACTACTTGTTTTTTCTCATCCCATGCTTTAAATTCCAGTTCTTGTGTTATAAATTCACCAATAAAGAGTGAGCCCATGAAACCCTAGCCCCTCAACCCCAATAAAAGCAGGATCCCAGGCCTGAACTAATATGCTCCCCTGCCACCCGCTGGTGACCTGGCTGTATGGCCCCACGTGCACCATGCAATTGCCAGGACCTATGAGTAATAAACTTTTTTTTTTTTCAAAATTCCCTGATGGTTATTGCTGAGGACAGCTTGCAATCATAATAAGAACCACAAGGGCCAGGCCAACTGCAACATTGGTTATCTATAGGCTGAGACCAGCACATGACAAGTGGTGTCTATGTGACACTCAACTACAGGGTCTGGTTTGGGAGTGAAGCCTGAGCTGCTGACAGAAAGGCTGCCGTCTGTAGCATAGAAATTGATAGTCCTTGAGGCCAGGGCCAGGACTGAGGTTGCCCCCGGGGTGGGGAGAAGAGAAC